TTGTATATTTAATTTTTTGACTTTTGTTTTGTCTTACCCGTTTTTTGACAGACTTAAACCCTGTAGTCATGTTCAACTCTGTATCTCAAGTCCACTGACGTATATGATGAGCTAACCTGACAAACTGGTAACAGCTTGACGCCGTCCATACAAAGATTTGCGGTCAGCTCACAATTTCTACCCCACAAATAAGATTGTATCTAAATTTGGTAATCCTAATTCAAATTGTGTCTCCTGTAACTCAAGAATTGAATCGATTGATCATCTTTTTGTCAAATGCCCACGTTAAAGTGTTTTGGTCTGATTTATCCATCTTTTTTACATCAAATTGTAAGTTTAACATTGATTTTTCTATGTGTCATATAATTTGTTACTTTTCTTATGACAAACATAACAGAATTTATAGGCTATTAATTTGTTTAATTGGGTAAATATTATATTTACAAATGCACATTTTCTTCATCATTACCTAACTTGCCAATTTTTTTTTGTGACTTAAATTGTTTAATTACTACTTTACAAAATGTTTACAGCAAAAAAAAAAGTGTAAAAACTGAAATTTTATAAGGACTTTGTACAGTAAATGTTATTTAATTTCATAGTTATCTTATTTTATTATTTTTTTTCCTTGTTTATTATTGTACTTGATGCAATCAATTGTTATGGTTAATGTGATTGTATTGTTAAAACACAATAAAAAAAAATTTAAAAGGTAAACAGTCAGGTGGTAAGCGCAAAAAAGGAATGGTGTCATACTGCCCCATAGCATTCGTTTTAAAGACAAAATGCAGCCATATAGGGGTACGTTTTCAGAATGAGCCTATGTTGTGATTATGCATTACGACAATAAGAACAATGAGAACTTTGTTGCGTGATACAGTAGTTCACCAAAAATTTAAATATACTCAAAACTTTATTGACTTTAATTGACTTCCATAGTAGGAAAACAAATACTATGGAAGTCAACCAACCCAGGCTCATTCTGAAAGCCATATATTTCTAGAGAGTGCCAAACACGTCTCAGGAATTTTTTATTTATTATTTATTTATTTTTTTACAGTTTTTGTTTTTCAAGAATCTGCCAACGGCCACGGTGTATGCTTTTTCAGGTATCAAATTTCTCTCCAGAGTGCCATTGACGCTGCTCTTCTCACATAAAACAGCTAGAGGCCGCTGTCAACTGACCAACTGACTGACCGACCGATCAACTGACACACCCTCCTCCTTCCCTTAACCCAACCAATAGTGTTTTCAAAAGCACTGATTGACCTATGTAACAATAGCGGTGTACAGTTCAGAATTAGTCATTTATTTGTTTAAATAATTAAGAAAAAAAATAAAGCAAAAGAAAAGATCTTTGCAGAGGTGGGATCCAAACCCACGTCTCTTGAGTTGGTGTTCTGCGATGTAACCACTAGGCATAACAAAAATAACAAAGTACAACAGATACCAAACAAGATATTCACAATCAGTTCAGATATCTTACAATGAAACTTCCTGTAACACTATTTTTTTTTCTCAAAAAAAGAAATCCTTTTTTTTCAAAGGTAGTCCTGAGTCTAATCAGTAGTACAAAAAAACAAATCGGTCAAACAGTTCAAGCGTGTTGAATTTCAGAGTTCGAAAGTTTAAGGTTTCAAGCTTTTAAAGTGTTTTAAAGTTGCCCTGTTTGGGAGTCACTTCTCTTCCTTGTTTCTCTTTTCCAGTGTATACATACAAGTGATTGGCCTCCCTGATTGGCTGACTTAACATGACGTGTGTATTAAGTAACAATTTTTAGCTCTACCTTTTGCTTCACTTCTGTCGTCATGGTGAACTCCTCTCTATGTCACAAGTACGTTGGCATACATGGTAAGACACTGGACAAACTGGTAACAGCCAGAAAGCCCTCTATATGGAGGTAAGCAGACAGCTAGTAAACTTGAGAAGGACCAGCGTCATGACGCCCTGCACCATTTAGTCAAAATGCAGCAACACATAGCCCTGGCTAAATATTTCGCGATCTCCAAAAATGTATATATAGAGGGACGTTTTCAGAATGAGCCTATGATGCTGTCAATGGTTATAGGTTTCCGACATTTTTCAAAAAAGCTTATTTTGTCCTCAACAGAATAAAGAAACTCAAACAAGTTTGTAACAAGTGAAGGGGGAGTAAATAATGACAGTTGTTTAATTTTGGGAGAACCATCCCTTTAAGCTACGAATTCATCACAAAAACTTCAACGGTATTGTAGTCCTGAACAGGTAACACTCTCCCTTTTTCAGATAGAAAGTTTAAGTTTCCACACAAAGCTTGTATATTTTAATTTGGCTTTCCAGAAAGATGCATAATTACTTGAGCTTTACTTCCCCGAAGACCAAGAGGGATGAAAATGCATTTCCTTTATTACTGGTGCTTGACAGTCAATTTAACAAAATGCAATTTTTTTGTGTGTCAAAGGTTCTTGCATCATTGTTTATTTCAATGCAATTATAAAGTCATAAAAGAGAAATGAAATGTGGTTTATTGCATATTTTTCAGTATATGAAAACTGGAATAAACAGGGAAAATTAATTTCGGGCCAGATTATGCCTGATATTAAAGGGATAGTTCACCTAAAATGAAAATATGATCATTTTCTCAACCTGTATTCCAAACTAGAACGAAAAAAATGGTAATTGTAGAATGTTATTAAAAAGTTCTGGTTCCCAGTTAGGGCAACATGATGGCTCAGTGGTTAGCACTGTCACCTCACAGCAAGAAGGTTGCTAGTTGGAGTCCTGGCTGGGTCAGTTGGCATTTCTATGTGGACTTTGCATGTTCTCCTTGTGTTTGTGTGTTTTTTCTTCGGGTGCTTCGGTTTCCCCCACAGTCCAAAAACATAGCGTTGTATATGTGTAACAGTGTATATGTGTGTATGGATGTTTTCCATTACTGGGTTGCAGCTGGAAGGGCATCCGCTGTGTAAAACAAATGCTGGATGAGTTAGCGGTTCATTCTGCTGTGGCGACCCCAGATGAACAAAGGGACTAAGCTGAAGGAAAATGAATGAATTAATGTTTCCTAGTTACTTCTGTTGTATGGACAAAAATACAATAGAAGTCAATGGGAACTGTTTGGTTACCAAGAGTTTGTTCACTGACATTCTTCTTTTGTGTTCTGCAGAAGAAAGACATCTTAGATTTTTAAACACATCTATTTTTGCACAACACAAGTGTGAGAAAATTATGACAATTTTTTTGAATGTCTTGAATTTTTTGTCGTTGGAATTTCTTATTCATTTTCCTTCGGATTAGTCCCTTTACTAATGTGGGGTCGCCACAGCGGAATGAACCACCAACTAGTCCCGCATATGTTTTACACAGCGGATGTCCTTCCTGCTACAACCCAGTACTGGGAAACACCCATACACACTCGCATTCACACATATTCAATTCACCTATAGCACACGTCTTTGGACTGTAGGGGAAACGGGAGCACCCGGAGAAAACCCACGTCAACACAGGGAGAACATGTAAACTCCATACAAAAATGCCAACTGGACCAGTCGGGACCAGTCAGCGACCTTCTTGCCATGAGGCGACATTGCTAACCACCGAGTCACTGTGCCGCCATTTCTTACCATGCAATTAATAATAATAATAGATTTGACTCTCAAATATCAAATGTGACCCTGGACCTCAAAACCAATCTTATGTTGCATTGATATGTGGCGATAGCCAAATATATATTATATGACTCAAATATAGATTTTTATGCCAAATATTATTAAATGTTAAGTATAAATAATGTTCGATTAGGATATTTTGTAAATTCCCAACTGTAAATATATCAAAATTTAATTTTGATCACACCCAGAACACTGCCTCTTTCAACTTTTACCTTCTGTTCGAGGCTACAGAGCACTGTGCACCAGAACAGCCCAACACAGAAACATCTCCATCTCATGAACACTTGATGATACTAATTGTGAAACAAACGTCACACCTTTTTATACACATATACACTTATTTAACAACATACTTTGCCAATTTGCACATAACAGCTGTACATACAGCATTGTGTATAATAATATACCTGTACATACACTTGTCAATGTGTATATTTGCATTCATTACTTACTTCTAGGCATGGGCTGGTATAAGATTCTGATGGTATGATAACCTAGGATATAAATATCACGGTTTCACTGTATCGTATTGTGATAACTGCTCTAAAATAAATTCTGGGTAAAACCAAAACCTTTTTTTTTCCCTTCGAACACATTATATTTTAATTTGGGAAACAATCAAAATATTTTGGAGCAGTAAACATGTCAGGCTAAATAATTCAAATGAATTATTGACTTCTGCTGTCTTAGTTTGTTTCAAAAACACTGATTTATTTACAATTTAAAATGGCATCTTTGGATATTTTTTCTGCTGGAGATACTGCAATAAAAATATCATACTCATACCTTAGGAACGGTACAGCAGAACATTTTTATGGTTTTAAAACCTTGACTTTTTCAAACCGCGGTATACCTTGATCACGGTTGCCATGTCTACTTACTTCTATTTTTAAATATTTTTATTATCGTTTTTTTTTTTTGTCCTGTCTCTGTAATTCTGTGGAAGCTGTCACGAAAACACATTCCTCATATATGTGAACATACCTTGCAATAAAGCTCTTTCTGATTAGGATCTGATTCTGATCATGACTGTTTTTTGTTTCAGTGTCACAAATGGTCCCGAAGAAAAATAGTCACACTATGTAATTAGTATTCATAGCAGTTATTGCATAACATGTGGATCTAGCACATAAACATTTTCTCATATTTGAACAGAGCGTTTTATGCATGAGCAACTTTAGGGGTATAACAGCACAGGTCATTTGCATGTTGAAAGCCATTTTGCCTTTGTATCCTGTAAAAATATGCCAAAAATATGCATGAATGCGCTTTTGCATTTGTAATAGCTTCGGAGAGCGCTCATGTTCACGCGGGTGTGACTGAGAAGCTGCACATTTCCAGGAGACTCACCTGTTTTTATCATTGAGACGGGAGACCTCCTGAGTTTGCTCTAAGAGCTGCTTCTCCAGCCGGTTTGTGCTCAGAGAGTACTCCAGCAGCTGGATCTCCAGACGACTGGTTTGGTTCAGCACCTGCAAACAGGCCCATATGGCAGACAAGCGGAAACAGAGATCGCCTTTAAAAAAAAAATTAAAGACATGGGAGAATTATAGTGTGTTTCTCATCCAACTACTATGGTTTTCATCTTTGCCAGAATGCAAATGTAAAGACTTAGGTTTGAAGACAAGATTTCGATGCTTAAGGTAATGCCAGATGTTTCCATTCTTTATTATGTTTGCTTACTTTATCCTGAAGTGGCACTGTTGGAAATGAATACAGAATGTAAATGAGTTTTAATCAAGGTTCGCACAAGAATGGAAATTCTGCCGATACCTTTATGTTCTTCCAAATCCAAATCCAAATTTCACAGAACACATAAAAAGGAATAATCCAAAGTCTTTTGCATATAGTTACATTGTATGTGGACTGGAGCTCTCAGGCTTCAAAGAGGATGTCTTGAAAATGTTTTTAAGACTTGTGAACTATTGTCAGTCATATAATTTTGTGTGAGAAATAAAAAGGAATGGTCCCACTTTATATTAAGTGTCCTTAACTACTATGTACTTGCGGCAAAAAATAAATACAATGTACTTCTGTGTTTATAATGTATTTAAGAACACTTGTGGTGCTTTTTAGTTGGGATAGAGGTTGGGTTATGGACAGGTTTGGTGGTATGGGTAGGTATAATACAACAGTGTATTTACAAATGTAATTACAAAAGTTTATTACAGATGTAATTACATACATGTATTTAATCAAGCATAAGTATACAGTAAATACATGTATTTACACAAGAAGTACATTGTAACAAACTATTAGTTCTTGTGTAAGTACATATTAGTTAAGGCCACTTAATATAAAGTGGGACCAAAGGAATCTACAACCATGAAAACATTAAACAAAGTGTTTATTAAGTGCTTTATTTTTTATGTTTTGTTAAAAGAAGGACAATCATAAGCTTTTACTATATGATTTAGAGCTTAGGTTTTCAAACTTTTAGGACACACGCCATCCCAAGTTGGTCCAGTTTCTCTCGCTCTCCACCCTGGCACCCCTCCCTCGGGCCGAAACTAAATGCATGCGCAAACATCATTCACATATTACTTGCTGCGTTTAAAGTGCGTAGAATTAATTACATTGAAACATAATTATATAGCTTACGTGATTCAGTGTGATAGCTGAGCCTTTTTCTGTGAGGACAACATGTTAATCTGTGGTCAGATTCCTGACATGACTAACCGTAAATCATCTTCTACTGTCAATAAGTGTGAGTCATAGCATACTTGCTTTTGATGTATGTACATAAAGAAAATGCTGCTTCGCAAAGCCAAGTTCGCAGAGCCCTGATGGTGTGGTTGAATCGAACATTGAGTATGTTTACATTGGCAAAAATCCTGCAATACGATTTCACTTTGATTAAGACAATACTCTGATTAAGAGTCTACCATGTAAACAGTGATTACCTTAATTCGACTTAAATCATAATTTAACTCAACAGAACTGGAATTAGGATGTGGAGTATGCATTAGTGGCATTATTGAAGTAAACACCGCAATCAAGCTATTCCCGTCATGTAGGACTTTTCGCGCATTTTGTGACAAAATCCACACACGCGGCTGTCAGTAAAGGACAGCACACGCACACAATAAAATATATTACAATTTCATAAGATTACATATAATTTTATATATATATATTTGAACAAGTACAGGTCATTTTTTACAGTTATTTGAAACATTTCACTTACATTTAATATGCTTACATAAAACCACTTTGTAAGTTCAGTTTAAAGCAGACACCAAAACTAGACATGTCCCCATTGACCAATTTATGGATTTAATGATAATCTTGCCCTTTCACCTAGCTGTAAACTGCTCCAAACAAATCATTTGATGCATTAAAGACTCAACTAGAAAGAATGTTCACAGATTCTCCCAAAGTTCCAAAATGCCTCAAAAGCACTTTAAAATATCACAAAAGTCACAAAAGAGTTCAAACTACACAATATATTTGTCTGGCAGTCAGTGTTATTTTTTATTTCTGTTTTATAAAACATGCTAGTCTTCCTATGGGGACATTGTGAAGCATCCCAGATGTCCTATTGGCTGTTGTCCATTATAACATACAATATAAAATAAAAAATCAATTCTTGCATCCAAACCCCCATAGACATTTTTGGAAACACCACAACACCCTATGTCAGAAAAGTCATGCCAACAATTCAGCTCCAAAAAAATCTTCACAAATCAGACTGTTTCCATTTTTTGTAACTGAAAGGAAAAAAAACTCTTTACAATTTCTCCTTTTGTGCTCCATGGAAGAAAGTTTTAGATTTGGAACGACTAAAGAGAGGTTAAACATAATAACAGAAGAATCATTTCTGAGTGAACAGTTTTTAAAAGCCATAATCAAGAGATCAAAACTCTCCAAAAAAAAGTCGCACACCAGGAGTGATTATCCCATCATGTCCATTCCTTCAAACACCTACAGCACATGTTTTTCCAAGCAGCTCAAACGCAGCAAACATACTGTAAAATAATAAAGCTAATATTTTTTCAGGCGGCACTATGATGTTCAATGAACTGCTGACTGCACAGAAATGAAGGCAAAAACACAGCGGTGTGAAACAATCACTCTTTGAGAGGATAAACACCATGGCTGTTTTAGTTGGGCTATTTTCAGTCTCTCTGATTCTTTTCCAACACTACTCTAGTCTGCATGGCCACTTAACCTTGCTTCTGTTGGCCAGGAATTCAGATGAGAGAAAACACTCTATTCAAAAATGCTTTGAGGGATGCACTAAAGCCCAATTTTATGAACGTTGAAAACTCTCATCCATTGACCGTCAATAATTAAATTTGATTATGAGTCTCCAATTCAAAATATTAGGCATTCCGCATCTTATAAAAGAGAAATTTGGACGAATAATAACCAGAGAGATGCACACTTTTCATGCCAGCTTGTCTTCAAAATGTGATTTAAGCAATTAGAGAAAAAAGGCACTGAAGCCTGAAGCTCGGGTGGCGTTTGTTTGTCTGAATGCTGCCAGTCTCATTTGATCAGCCTCACCTGCGTCTCCACATCTGTCAGTTTGCGCGTGTTTTCCGCTGATTGGCTTAGAAGATTGGTTCCGATCTCCAGCATGGTGGCTGTCTGGGTGTGAATGACATTACGCTCCATCTCTGATCGCACATTCTCCTGAATGTAGCTCTCCAGCTGTAAACATGACATGAGACACGTCAATAAGCATACAGCAGGCCATTTAATATACTTGTAATGCTCACAAGACAACGAAAACATAAAAAGCCCTCAGCTTTATTTAGGTTATATATGGGGGTTTGAGAGAACTAGTGTGAACAATATCAGACTTGTTTCTTAAAAACTTGTGTGTGTGTGTGTGTGTCCAGCCTGATCTCACAAGAAAACGTAAGTATTTTACGTTTTGCCAGTTTAGTGGCTAATTCGTACGAATTCGTACGATTTCAGTCGTACGAAATGATACGATTTTAAAAAGGAGGCGTGGCACCTAACCCCACCCCTATCCCCAACCGTCATTGGGGGATAAGCAAATCGTACTAAATTGTATGAATTAGATCGTACGAATTCATACGAATTAGCCACTAAATGAAAAAGTTAGGAATTGCCGTGAGATTGTGTTGGTGTGTCTGATAATATTTCTTTCCAAAAAAAAAAAAAATCAAGCTGAGCAAAAACTCCATTTCTAATTCTAAAATGACAGAGAGGTGACTAGAGTGGACATACAGTAATGACCAAAATTCTATTTTATTCGTTCATCTTCTTTTCGGCGTATTATTTTTAGGCATCCCTTTATTAATCTGGGGTCACCACAGCGGAATGAACCGCCAACTCATACACCATATGTTTTACACAGCAGATGCCCTTCCAGCTGCAACCCATCACTGGGATTCATACACACATTTAGCCTACCCAATTCACCTATACCACATATCTTTGGACAGTGGGGAAACCAGAGCACCTGGAGGAAACCCACACGAACACAGAGAGAACATGCAAACTCCACACAGAAATGCAACTGACCCAGTGGAGGCTCAAATGATTTTGGCTTATGATTTATGACCCAAATTGATGCTTTGTTCCTACATAAAACTAACACTTAGGATATTTAGTTTATTTTTATATGTGTTAAAACAGCAGCTCCTTAATACATTTAATCCTGAATACATTTAATGAATAATAAAAACAGGCACTAGGACCCAGTGAGTGCTGTTTAGCCAGTAAAACTCTGCTGCTATTTTGGGATTTCCGCCTGGATTTTGCCTACCCAAATTTAAAAGCTTCCCAAATCCATGTGCAAAGGTGTAAATGCAAAAATTTGGTATCATTTTAAAGAAAACCCTTTGAATTTTCATAAAACACTATTGAAAGTGTTTAAAATAACTGTATTTGTTGTCTGTGTTATAATAAACACCTAAAAAAAAAGAGGTTCTTTTTGTATTTTTTTTTTATGAACTCAAATTTGAAAGTGCACCTTTTAGGTACTGTGTGGTCTAGCGTGCTGTAATTAATTTTGGTGGTTCCTGCATATGTTTGTAATCATAGGAAAAAATAAAAATTTCTCTACCATAATCTATGCAAAAGTTATTGTATTCCAACTGATGAGAGGTGCTGTACAAGCCACAGGGAGCGATCATTGTTTACATATTTCAGTATGGATCTTTTATTTGATCAAACATAATTCACTGTGTTTGGACCACATCAGACATATAAGAGGATTACTTGTGCACATCACCTCAAAAACAGAGGAGAAATGTCCCTGAAGCGCACAGCATAAGGTAAGAGATGACAGCTGTCTGTGCTATCTGGGGTTGCTTAGTGATCATAAATGTATTGTTTTCATTTCTGCGCCATGGAAACACCGCGATTCATTCGGCAACTGTTTGATATGTGAATATAATTCAGTAAAAAGAATGCTAGAACCATATAAGCACCGGCAAGAGCTTTCATTTGAGCTATAACTTGTACATGTGTCACATGAAAAACATTAAAATGAACCAATATAAAATACCTAGCTCAGGTATCCAAAGTAGAGTATACTTTATTTGTACCTAATAAAGAGGCCGGTTAGAGTATATGATCATGATAAGTGCTTGAGACATTTGCACACAAGCCAAAGCAGTCTAAAAGCAATCCATATGAAAAGCATGGTCGAAACTCAACACAAAAACCAACACTGTATAATCTGTCTTACAGACAGAGCTTGATTCCCTTCGGAAAAAGGGATTTGAGCGTGAACTGTACAATTCTAATGAGGCAACACAAATACGTCCTAATCATTAATCTCCAATTCCACCATCCGCAACCAGAGGACATCTACCCGCAGAGGCCGTGACATGGTGTGCTTGAAATCATACACATAATATATGGCATCTTTCACGTTTGAAATCTGAGCGCCCTTGGGTAAACTATGTTTTGTTCTCTCAGTTTAATTCATCGCTGGCTGTGATATGAAAGGAGGAGAAAATAAATAAATAAAGATCATGACCATTTATGCGAACTATAAAATCGAGGCACCAAGCATCTGAGAGTAATAAACGGATCGCAGATTGATGTGGCCTTTTCAAAGAGTGACAAAAGGGAAGAGAAATCCCGTCATATCTTCCCTGCACCGTGTAATTTCGACATTCTTTTTTTCCAAGGAGGATTTTTTGCCAGTCACTAAGTAGGTGAGCTTCGCAGCAAACTAAAGTGGCATTGATTAAACCACCTTTAATCTTGCTGCTCCGCCACTTTAGGTAATGAACATTCAAAGGGTTTTAATTGAGTTAAATAACGAGCCATAAAAAATGGAACCGAATTAAAAAGTGCCCAAGTCCATTTGTATTTTCCCATTTGCTGGAAAATTAGATTTATTATTAAAACGGCACCAAACATGAAAACTTCAGGCTCTCTGTGAAGATTTACTGAAAACAATAAATGGGGCTACTCGAGGACAGTTGAGCAAGAATGATTTTATTGAGCAATCTTTAACTTCTTTAGAGGAATTGTTCATCCGGAAATAATTTTTTTATTAACTACTCAACCTCATGACGTTCAAAGCCAGTCACATACATCTCACTTTCAACCTTCAGAAATGTATTATAACAGCAGTGCATTGCATCACTGGATTATTTGACATATACTGTATGATTGAGAATCAATTTGATTTTAAAAACCAACCAGTTTCAGCTGCCATATTCAGCATAGATGTCATATGGACTGCTTTTATGCCATTTCTTTTTGTCCTTTATTGAACTTGGCAGCTCATAGTTAAGAATAATGTTTTATAGGATAAAATTAAGCATTCGAGAACTGGGTTGAGAGTAATGCGTTCCACAGTAATGCGTTATTATATTGTAATTACTGTACATATTTGAGAAACGCAGTAATGTACTGTAACAAACTACATTTTAAATTAGTGTAATTTGGTTAGTTACTAAAGTGAGTATAATTTTGTTACTTAAATATAATTTTTTCTTCTTTTAAATCAAATTTTCCACTGCAACGTCAGTTAATAAGCATATTAAATATAATAGCTGAAGAACGGCAGCTGAAATGATTGCTGATGAGAGTGGGGTTGCTACTTCAAGTGGAAATACAGACATTACTTTAATTTAGTGTAAAAACTAAAATATTGCTGTAAAAGTCAGTCTATGTCCAGTCTCTAAAGATCTTTCGACAGCTTTTAACTTGACCAGCAATCTGTTGAAGCACTTGAATAGAAAGCATTCAGATCATACTCATCACCAAGGAGGACATCGGCGCACAGAAACAAGGCAGCCCCACTCAGCCTAAACAGGCTATATTGGAAATCGTGCAGGATGGGGTTATCCAAATGAAGCTTAGTTGCCTATGGCAGTGGTCCTTAACCCCCGGGCCGGTCTGCGGATCAATTGGTACTGGGCCGCACAAGAAATCAATAATTTTTTCTGTTTAATTTATTATCCGAGTCTGAACGATCTTTTATTTTGAAAAGTCTTTTGTTTAAAAAAAAATTCGTATTTTCTCGGTTAGATCTCGGTCACTGGAGAGCCCAAATTGAACCCACAAGCAGCAAAATGAGAAAGAAATAGATGTCTTTGGAAAGTTTCTGCTTGGAAAGCCAGACCAGAAGCCCCCAGTTTAATGAATCCCGTGACCGCACCACGAGTCGCATTGCAAGAATTGACTGATCAGCTTCAGCGTGGATGGAATACACAGACTAATTAACTCCCAAACACTGCAGTGCTTTGTAATGTTTTCCATAAATAAAACTTGTACCAGAGTTACAGCAATGTTTTGTCAGCTTGTGTTACTCTGAGAAAACGGTTAATGGTTGTTCGTTATTTCCAATGGAGGTGCATGGCTTGCATGCATATTCGGAGTGCATATTGTGTGCACTTGCATTTGCACACACACCAGTTAAAAACCAGAGTCATGCGACAAGAACTGACCAATAAGCTTCATACTTTGTAAAGAATATACACATTTCGGTAGACTAATTACCTCAGACAAACACAGAACACCCAAACACTGCAGTGCTTTTGCATTCTATGCATGTCAATGCTGCAGATGTCCAGTTTTCTTCTAAGCGTCTTCTTTTGTGTTAAGGTTTGGAACAAGTGAATGATTAGAGAATTTTAAGTCAAGCTGCTGTGGTCAACCCATTGTAATGTTGTTAAGTGAGTATTAAGTTACAAAGAGCTGCAGTCTATTTTATATATGTATATTTTATATGTTTTCAAAGTAACTTCAAAGTAAAGTAATTAATAATCTGAATACTTTTTACATTAAGTAATCAGTAACAATTTTCCAGCAGTAGTCAGTAATTTGTAATCTATCACTTTTTTAAAGTAACTTACCCAACATAGTAAATTATAACACACTTTCATGTTTCTTTTAAGTCTATGTTTATTCACGACTTCCTACTTGGTACTTCCTACATCTCTGTCTGTCTACACTCGTTCTTTTCTTTCTTTTTTCAGGACGTGTCAGTGCATCTTGGCTGTTTTAAACTGGAAGACAGAGGCTGCATAAGCAAGCAGAAGATCTGTCGGAGGAGATTATTTTGGATTAGAACAGTGTTAAGAAAGGATGTAGGGAAGCCAAGAAACTGCAACAGCTACTGCCTGTGTGTATTTCACATCGAAACGTGTTCTTGCCTGAAATAAACGTGATTTATTCACCTCTAAAACAATAAATACAAAGACCTTTTTTAG